GAAACTTGTCCTTTTTTCTCATACGCAGAAACACGTCGCATTAAGCCGGCTCATCGGACATCGATTGTCTGTACCGCCTAGTCAGAGTACCAACCACTTATGTGCCGACACGCCCACGTATACGCACTGGGACCTACATGAAGGGAAACCGAACCCAGTCAAGACACATTCGCGCGCGCAGGGAGCAAGCACTTCAAGTCCACGGACAATCATGGAACGCGTGTAGCAGCGAAACTGCGAAGGAAACACGTTACCGCCGTCCGGACTTTCACCAAGGAAATCTTACATACGATAAGTTCCTTTCTGACTTGCTCCCATTTCTCATTGTACCTATTTTTATACGCGTTGTAACCCTCTACTGTCTACCATGCTAAAAACTTCTATTAGTGCACATTCACCTTCTGATTTGTATTATGGCTATCACCAGCTGTGCACTAATACTTCCTCATATGAAATCAGCGGTGAACAGATGTCATTTACTTTGTGTTCTGACTGCTGATTAATGACGCGATTTCCGCCCGTTTACTGTAACGCCGTTTTGTTCCCTTGATTATCGTTCCCACTCAGTCTTCAGTAACTGATGTCAATATTCATTTGCGCGCCAATCATTTTTTGTAAGGTCGTCTCAGGTTCACCCATTTTCGAGCGTCCGCTCTGACAGGAAAACGGGCTGGCCGGGAATCGATCACAGAGCCCCTGAATTGTAGGTCAACGTGCTGTCCACTGCAGCAAACTGATATCCAGGAGGATCTACTTTTTATATTACCCATACGCCACACCCGCCAGAGAGCCTTTCGCGAGACTGGGTTTAAAATAACCTAAAAACGCAATCTGACTATTCATGTGACGCCAGCTGCAGCACCGTGCCGTCAACCAAAGACAGTCTCTTACCTCCTGAACGCATTGGTTGTTTTTCCGCTCCGTCATCTCTCTTTTCGGCCAACTCACACGTGAAGACTGCCCGTATCTGTAGATAATTTGGTGCTTAATTACTGTTGCTTTCAGAAACCCCTGCTGCTTGATTGGCTATTTTCGCTCCTGCTGATTACACCATTCCCGATGTTTACTAACCCATTCGTTTATAGAACCAGTTCCTGGCAGTTCCCATCATCTGCTGCCTTAGTCTGCCAGCTTCCATTGACTACTGGACACAAACTGCGTACGATCAGATAGCCATAATTATACTGTGAGATCTTTAGACGCCATAATGTTACATTCATCGTATTGGAAACAACAACATAAGGTGAACCTATATAAATTGACTCAAGTTCTGGTGCGTGTGCTCCCATACGGTCGACGCATGCCGCTTCTATCGGAGAATGTGGCTCCGTTCAATCGCTGAATACTCCGGAAAGACATTATTCGCATATGTTAAGCCGAGATGCTTATTTGTCCGCTAACGATGTTTTTACTCTAACTTGCCAGAAAAACTGATACCACTTACACCCGTCTTCAATCCAGTTATTGCCCATCAATGAATCGCGGAATAAATTGACGGGTTGGTGGATACACGACAGCTTCTGGAGCCCGGGGAAGCCATGGACATCGTCGAGTCATTGAGTGACTGGGTCAAATCTTGTTTTCCTCATATGTAACATTCGAAAGACGACCAGCGGTCAGTGATCAAGGATTACGGATCTTGGGGCACAGAAGTTATTGACTTTTTCATATTCCGGCAGTGACAACTGCAGCCCAGCTGGTCGCACGCGCCATCACACTGACTGCTGTAATGAGGTGCTTTGCCCGCTGCGTGGTGCGGGTCTGCGGACCTGATCATTTAACCGGTACACCCACAATGTATTGTTGTTTTGATCCATCACACGCATCTCCAAAAAAGCACCCATATGTGGTCGCTAAATGTGTCGACAAGACGACCTGCTAAGATGTTTGCCTGGGCCAAATCACAGAGGCCCAGCCAGCTTGTCCAAGATTTCCATGGGCATCCACCGTCTGGACTGCAGTAGGGTACGTTTGTTCTCTTTTAGATTCACCTTTGATAACAGAGCATACCAATTTATATATGTAGATACATTTAGATTCCAGTCTTTATTTCCTGCGAACCTTGACTCTCTTGAAGCCTTACACTCGACAGACTTAAGCATCATTCGGGAACGCCTCTAAGAGTATACCGCTTCTTGGTGTAGGCAACTGAATTAGTTTGTTGCCAGTCACAAGGTCTCTTAGTTATATTTTGATAAAACAAGTCATTTCTTCTGTTCATTAAAGGGTGACAATAATGTGCTGAACACTATTCACCGAGGATGCCGTGAAATTTCCCGTTGGGATAAATGTAATTATCAAAATGCCCGAAAAAGTTAGACGTCCAACCTGGCTGACAAATACTTGTTGGAATGAATGTGCCCTGGTTTTCCATTCACGCGAGCTGTATCTTGCCATTTCACCAGGCATCGTGGTACCCGCGCAGCGGGCTGATCGCGCACATGGGCTGGGTTTTTGTGACCGTACTGGATGAGCGGCCATATCTTCGTTGAGCAATTTGAAACCAACAGTTTCAGTTTCCTCCATGATGCATGGCGGATTCAGAGGAATAGCATTATTTTCGGCAGCTCATATTGCGTATCTGTAATACTAAATATTGTATCTGTTTGGCTGTTGTCAACACCACCCGATTCCAAATTGAGAAGGCTTATTATATTACGCCATTTATAATAATTCATTTTGCCGCCAATAAACATTATCTGAATGCTTCCAGGGCGTCAAAAATCAGTTTAGCTGAGAAAGGCTCATGGACTGTACAAAATTTGTGGAAATCTCTGCTCCTTTTATTCTTTAAGAGAATGGTATTTGCGTGTTTTATGTGCAAATGCCTAGCTTCATTTTGTGATGCACCTTAATTTGCTTGCACTTTGCGGTGTACCTAAATCTTCGACACCGGGTTCGGGGTCCGTGTTTTTTATACAAGTTGCGAGGCGCAACCCGCAACTCAACGCCAGTCCAGCCGGCCCAATGCACCTATTTGCCTACACAAAATATGCCCGTGGTGAAAATCCTTCAACGGTAAGGCCGGTGGCTATTTGTGACCTTCACATATGGAAATGCACTTCGAGTGACACCATTAGGTTTTATTCTCGTTTGCAGCATGCATGGGGCATGCCTATAGAAGGTCATTCATTTATACACTGCGCGTCTAATTGGTATTGGTGAACCATGCATCAGATTTGGCAAAGGCATACAGAATTCATTCTTCCTGCATGTATTCGCCTTCCTGTTTTCGGTGCATCTGAACTTCAAATCTTTGCACCCTTGATGTGGGTAACGTGCAGGTACACCTTATTAAGGTAATTTTAAAGGATACAGAGCCTTTCTGAATCTGAAGCGTGACCCCTACATTTCAAAATGCGCGTGCACAGGTACACCCAATTTGGTACAATCACTTGTAGGATTCATGGAAATTGTGTTACTGCAATCTGACATTAGAATTTAGAAACTTCATTTCTAGATGCCCAGTTAGATCAAAATGAAACAGATACCGTGTAACCAATGAGCTGATTCTTGGTTTTTGTTCAATCCTCTCGTTGACCCAGCAAATATGGACCCCTAAGATTCCACTTCAGTTTTGTTTGTTTGCGGTCTAATGGACCGCCTATTAACTTTACTGTCAATGGCACTTCTTTCGAAGCAGTGTAATTTTATACAGTTCTGATATCAGTAAGACAAATTGTCAAACGCACCCGTACATCTATCGCTCTACATCGGTGATACAACACTGCTCCACTCACACGGATAACATAACTGCACTGCAAGCAGAAGACGATTACTGCCAAGCTATTTACATTTGTCAACAGTGTGTATCAGTAAACACAACATACCATCTAGCTATGGGAACTTGTTGGGTCGCAGCTAGGTGCCTGAAGGCTCGCACACTCTCCAGTTATAACAGCAGCTGTAAGGACAAACGGTAACATCCACTAATTATTTCCAAGACCCTCCCCAAACAGCAACCGAGACTTACCTAGCGAATGTGAATACTATCAATCCGATTCCAAGCAGTCAGACGCACTTATATTTTTCCGAGCTGCGTGGAGGTAAGTAGATAAGACACGATGCTCTGTGAAGGATGTACGACCGCTTTATTATGACCTGATTCTTGGTTCGCGGTAGTCTAGCATGTTCAAAAAAATGACAGATCCTAAATATTTCCAACTGTCGCAAATAGGTTGCACTTACGACCTCATCGTGACAGACGGTCGACAGACATTTGTAGCGAGCAATCGTTCGAGCGATAATTCGATCCGCATCCCACTTGTTCCGGTGGCGCGCTGGCTGTAGTGACATAATTTATAATCAAGAACTAAGCACGATGCATGCAATACGCTTAAAGTCACGGAGATACGATAGTACATAGGTAGGTGACACCTGAAGTTGCCAAAATAAGTGAAGTTTAAACTTGTCCAATGTGATTTATGAAAGTGACCGCTTTGTAGATTTTGTCAGAAGGTATCTTGAATGCAATGTTCCATGCAGAATTACTAAATGCAAGGTTTCTAACGCAATGTGTTGAAGCATAGCTGATCAGACATCGACCTTACCCACAAGAATGACAATAATAATGGCAACGGGCAGTCAATGACAGGTGGTCGAAAAACTATGGAGAATAATAGACAGAAACATCCTAAGGACGTTCACTTTATTCCTTCCTTCAGTAGTGTATGCCACGACACCATATGAATGAAAGGCAGGTGCAATTTAACAACATTCGTTGCAATTTGCATCTTACGCCTCCCGCGCGTTCCACTAAAATGAGTGAAAAGGCTCATCAAATCTTGGAACACAAACACCTACCTATTCTGTTATTTTAAATTATTGCATGCACAGGCGCTGCCAGAGCTCAACTTTGCGTTATGCGATTGCGCATACCGCTGCATACTGTCCTGCACAAGGGCAGTATCCTCCGATCAGACCTGCAGGAATTTAGAGCCGGCCCAGTTAAACCGGTGTATACGTCATTGGATAATCTCGATCAGTGGGGGCATCATATAGTTTGCCTGGGAAAGCCTGTTAGTGTACCATATTTTGATGCTGGGAGTATCGATTGCCTAACGGTGCAGACAAGGGGGAGGAAGAACATCAACGGACTTAAATAGGTCCACCATTTCATGAATTTAGAGGTTGGTATACGTGATCAAGTTTTTGACCCAGGTTTCCGGTGTTGGTTTGTTCTTGTCGTTCAGCGGTTTCCTTCACCTGAAGCCCATGGAGGGGGGAGTGCGTGGCACCTCTAGTTAAATCAGTGAAAATGGGCTTTCCAGCCCAGGAAGCCCACATATGAAAAATCTGGTGGTGCTTTGAAGTTGGCCCCAGATGCGGCGTGAATAATTGTCTTCAAAAGGTAATTTCACATACGAACTGGACAAATTTAGAAGAACTCTTGTCCAAAACGAATCTATGCTTTGGACTTTAAAAATTTTATTATCATGACCTCGAGTCCTGTTGTTGCTCACAAGCAAAATGTTGTCCTTCGTTTTTATATCGGATACCTTCTAAGGTCTGAGGTCCAGGACCAGCTGCTCCGCGCTGTGGGTGGGAAGGTGTTGGGATGCACTAAGTAGCAGCTTTACCTGGTTCGCGTTGAGCGTTGACACAGCTTCGTTGCTCAGCGACATTAGCTTCCTCGATGTGTAAGTATCTGTATTTCCGCTACACACCAACCTAAAAGAGGATGCATTTTAGTTTCCTTCAGCAAGTTTAACAAGAGCCATTGCACCCGATTTTGAACTGGTCGCAATTCGGTTTTATGCAAGCCGAAGAGTGGGAAATTAAAAAGTGTATACGTTTCCGTGGTGACCTAATGAGAAGACAGTGAATGGGATTGTGAATTGTGATGGATGATGAAGGATTTCAGCAACGAGGTCCGGGTTCAAAAAGTGAGTTTTATGATCATCATTTCGATACCGTCTACTGGCGTATGAATTAGGGATGTCGCGGGAACCTTACTTGATACTTAACACCAAGCTGGATGTTTCCGTTAGTAAATGCATGCAAGTACATCGTTGTAATATATTCCAGAAGTAGAATTCACAAACTACCGGGAGACCCACCTGAAAATCCACAGATTCATGTTAATGTTTCTAGTACAGACGTAGGTGTGATTACACGATCTGAGGTCACACCAGATCGGTATATCCAGATCTTGTAATCTAATGTGCACCTCCACACATGGAGGTCCATCAACATCCTATGTACATATTCGTAGTGGTTAATGGCCATATAGAGTCTCTAGTGATTAGGACAAATTACTAATGTAACCCAGTTAGCACCGGTGCAGAAATTTTAATCTAATGCTCCACACATGGAGGTCCATCAACATCCTATGTACATATTCGTAGTGGTTAATGGCCATATAGAGTCTCTAGTGATTAGGTTAGGACACTAATGTAA